ACTGATAGAACTCAATGTCAGTAAACGCCTTATCCCACTGATAGAGCTCAATGTCAGTAAACGCCTTATACTACTGATAGAACTCAATGTCAGTAAACGCCTTATACTACTGATAGAACTCAATGTCAGTAAACGCCTTATACTACTGATAGAACTCAATGTCAGTAAACGTCTTATCCCACTGATAGAACTCAATGTCAGTAAACGTCTTATACTACTGATAGAACTCAATGTCAGTAAACGTCTTATCCCACTGATAGAACTCAGTGTCAGTAAACATCTTATCCCACTGATAGAACTCAATGTCAGTAAACGTCTTATACTACTGATAGAGCTCAGTGTCAGTAAACGTCTTATCCCACTGATAGAGCTTTAACACTAGCAGACGACGCTCTAGGTTTTACTAGAGCAATATTTTAACCCCGTTTTTCATTTTTTTAAGAAATATCCTTATGGATCTTTACAACTTTCGGTTTCATATGTAAAGATCCATCAATAGGGATACTTCTGCATTTAAGAAACATCATTTTCATTTTATCATATACAACTTTCAAATTTTCATGATTTTTTAATCAAGTTTTTAATTTTTAATTATTATAGTACGTGTTAACCCATTTTAGAGAAACATTGTCATAGCTAGTGTCCACAATTTGAAGCCTTACAGTAATATTTTTTAAGCTCCATACCATAATGGAAATAGTGTAAATAGTATAATACAGTATTAATATTTTACCGTATTTTAACTCCATTAAGGAGTATTCTCCTTTGATATTAATGTATATTTTGATTTTAATTATATAATAACTGTGCGATACATGTTTTAGTTTTGCATATACTGTAATATTTTGTATAATTGTATATTTTATGTTGAATAAATATCTACAAGATAAAAAAAAAAAACTGATAGAACTCAATGTCAGTAAACGTCTTATACTACTGATAGAACTCAATGTCAGTAAACGTCTTATCCCACTGATAGAGCTCTATGTCAGTAAACATCTTATACTACTGATAAAACTCAATGTCAGTAAACATCTTATACTACTGATAGAACTCAGTGTCAGTAAACATCTTATACTACTGATAGAACTCAATGTCAGTAAACGTCTTATACTACTGATAGAGCTAAATATCAGTAAACGTCTTATACTACTGATAGAACTCAATGTCAGTAAACGTCTTATACTACTGATAGAGCTAAATATCAGTAAACATCTTATACTACTGATAGAGCTCAATGTCAGTAAACATCTTATACTACTGATAGAGCTCAATGTCAGTAAACGTCTTATACTACTGATAGAGCTAAATGTCAGTAAACGTCTTATACTACTGATAGAGCTCAATGTCAGTAAACGTCTTATACTACTGATAGAGCTCAATGTCAGTAAACATCTTATACTACTGATAGAACTCAATGTCAGTAAACATCTTATCCCACTGATAGAACTCAATGTCAGTAAACGTCTTATCCCACTGATAGAACTCAATGTCAGTAAACGTCTTATCCCACTGATAGA